TCTACCTCTCCGACAAGTTGTAATGTGAAGAGGAGAGTGGAAAGAAGAGGAGAATGGATTGAGGAGAAGTTGAGAAGAAGGAAGAAGGAAGAAGATTCTCGTCAAAGGAACAGGAGCCATTTTTTAAGTGCTCTATTATATGGTAAGAAGAAAACATTCGTTCAGAATCATCATTCAAGCTCCTCTTCTCTGAACGGTTTTATGTCAAGAAAAGTCTGCTCTTTTGAATCTGCTACCTCCTCCATGAAAGCTAGATGTATGAATGATCAGCCAAGTCCGAAGAAATCAGCTTCCAATAAAGTGAATGTTGAGGGGCAGTATCATTTACCCTGTTTAAAGTATCTCCTCAAGATTCACTCACTCAATCACTTGACAAGACTCTCTCAAGAACCAATCTTTAAGGATTATCTGTCTGATCATTCACTCACTATTGTGAAACTTCTCCTGCACCCAAGCTCAAACAACAATGGGTTCCTAAGGCTGAAGCTGAAAAGTTAATACTGTCCAACTCTTCTCAACCAGCTAGCCTAGGATCCCAAATTAAACAAAAAGTGCAACACTTTTTCAATGCTGCCAAAGAAGGACCCATCTGGAAATGGGTACCAAAAATTACTTAATCTGTTCCGCAGGGTCCGTCATGTGTGGTATAACTGATCCGATTGCTCCACACACATGGCGGGTAAGAAGACGAGTTGTGAGCAATCAACTAGTGCACATTATCAAGGGGAGTATTGGCGTGTATACTACCCCACTGAGCAGTAAATTAGGAAATGCACACTTCAACACCAACACATGCCAAGAATCAACAAGTGCATATTCTAAGGGGGGTGTTTCTTTTTTTCTCCTCCTGGTGTCAAACAACGAAGAAAGCACATTTCAAGGGGGAGTTTTCTACTTTACTCCCCGGATGACAAACAAAACACTTGCAACTTCTGAGGGGGAGTTTCATTTTTCTCCTCCTGGTGCTAGAAAATGTAAAATGCAAGGATTCTCTCAAGGATGCAGATTTGGGGAGGGGGGTCTTCAAACTTCTCCTTCCAAGCGCCAATCATCGTCAAAGGCGTCCTACTGAGTGCTCCAGTTGAGGGGAAGCACAGAGAGAAAAGATCAAAGAGAAATGAGAGATAAGTCCTGATGGCTTAGTAAACCCAACTAAGCCTACCCACGGGACAAAGCATTTAGTGAGTGAGTGAGTAACTGAGTGAACACTATGAGAGTGAGGAAGCAGAAAGCACAATTGAGCAAGAGAACAATAATCAATGTTAAATCTACTACCTCTATTGTGCTATCAATCGAGAAAATTACTCTCAGTCACTCAAATACTCTGGACAATCCCCATAGGTTCAGGACTGAATTTATTCAGATCCCGGGTAGAAGTCGTTGTATTTTGTCCAAACGACGCATGCACAACCCTACCCTAAACCACCCACGTGTCTCCCAACAGACAAGTGTTTAATCATATTTCACGGGGAACCTCATCTCTTATCACCATCTCATTCTGAGGCGACTGATACTGACTACAGTAGCCCACGGCCTCATGTCACTGAACATTCATTGATCACGTCATGTCTAGTTATCTCACTCTCAAATGTTTTGAATTTTCTAGGACACAAACACCTTTTAGAGTCAGTTGCATGTCTTCATGAACCGCGAGAACTTCCATATGGCTCATTTACTATAGATGAAGACCAATGATTGGAAGGAAGTCCTGTTGTTGCAACATAGAAATCACCAACATGTTCAGGTCATCGCTTCAGAGTTTATCTCTATAAGTGATGATAACCGGCGTCTACACGACCCCGGGGGGCTATGTTATCTTTGCTGATCTTTATGAGCATGTCATAACAACCAGAGTGACATCTACTTTAGATGCCTCACAATGACTGGTTGGAAGTCCTGTTAGAGCTTTAATGCTTCTATCATTTTTATACAGGTCACGCGTCAGTGTTTACATTGATGTGATAACGAAACACCATGGTGTCTCCGGTGTTTACCTTTTTGTTTGTTTTTTCTATTTTGTTACACAGAATAAAATAATAAAGGCATGACGTCCCGATTCATCGGATCATCATGAGGGGGAGAGTGGTCCGCATGCAGTTTACTCTCAAAAATCATTCTCGGATACTTCTCCTCCAACACAAAAAACGACGACTCTCTACTCTCTAAAATCATCAAAACTGCCAAGTCAGCTTCACATCAAATGGTCAGCTACGCTCACAAGTCAATCATCATTTTCCGTTGTGCAACCGACTGGTTCTCCTCAAAAGAATTCACCTCAAATAGTCAAAAAGACTACATTGTGGAGGAGACAGAGGTCAGGTAACCAGAATCCCATGTGTGTCTACAATTCTTCAAGGACATTCATTCTAGAGGCGCCACCGGATTTCATCCAAGCTGATCAAGACCAACTTCTGGAAGGCGAGGACTACATGCAAGGCATTGAAGATTCCTCAGCCCCGGCATCAAAGATCAAATTGCCAAAAAGACATCAAAGGGGAGATTGCTAGGATTTCTTCAGAAAGCACTCTAAAGAAGTCGAGTTCAACACGAAGACAAAGGAAGCTGAGTTCCACTGAAGATCAAGACAAAAGAGGAGCAACTCAGTAGATTTTATCTACGCTCTCCTCTACATTGCTGAATAAACACAAAGACAAAGATATCCACGCTGCAATGCTGATTGAACACAATTGAACACCAAAGGGGAGATTGTTTAGAATATTTTATAGTGTCCAATCTAATTAATTATCTTTGTATTTGTGTAGTTATTAATTAAATGTGTGATATGGGCCACAAATGTATTTCGGCCCATTAGCCCACTTGTAAGCCTTAAGTTAGACATCCTTATGTATTAAAGGATGCTAACTTAAGCAAACCCTAACTCTCACAAGCCTCTACGCACATCAACGCATATATTATTTTGAAAGGCCTTCACGGTAAAAGGAAGAGGGAGTTCTTTGTTCAAATATTGTTAAATCATTCTGTGATTCTCTGCTTCTATTATATTGTATGATTGTTGATTGATTTTGGGACTAATACAAACTACTCAAAACAGTCACGTTTCATTTTTTCTTTTTTCATCTTCTTATTATTTCATTTATTTAATGCTGAGACATATACACAAATGTATTTTTGTACTCGGTTTATGTTTATGATAAGGTTCACACACACATATATAGTTACACGATATTCGAGGAGAAAAAGTGAACGAAAGTGGATTAAACCTATTTCAAACCTGTTTCAAAAGGTTAGGAATGGAAAATTAATTACCCTGCATAAATTTGTGATAAAAAATGGGTCTAAGAGACCCAAGGTACCCAACCATCCCATTTGTCTAATATAAATTGCACTTTAATCAAATACAATTATTTAGACTAAGGGAGTACCATCTATCTTACAATGCAAAATGAAACTTATTTGAACAATGCAGCATGAATTTACCTACTATGTACTTTTGAAAAAGATTGAAAATGACTACCTTAAGTACCAATTAGACTAACTTTAGAAAAAGTACCAATTAGACTATACAACTCTTTTTAAAAGTACCAATTGAATACCATCATAATTCATAATGCATGGACCAAATGGGACATTGACATGTAACCATCCATGCTTTATTGTCATTGTTGAAGTATACCAATTCAACACCACCTGCCGTTACAAAGTTGACCAAAAACACGCCCGCAAACTAGGTCAAATAAGGTTGGTCAAGTTCATCCAAAAAAAATACACTCTTATACACATTTTTGTACACACCTGTCTGTGAAAGCTTTTTTTGTGTGTGTGAATAGGTATTTTTATACACTCTTATTCACAGACAATGTTTTGCACAAACAAAATATTGTCTGTGAACTGGAATCACAGACAAAAAAAAGCTTCACAAACATGGTGTGTATAAGGTGTGTACAAGGGTGTGTACATCAAGCATGTTGTTTTAAGAGTATTGGAGTAATTTTTTTTAATAAGATTGGTCAAAAGCTAGATGGATTGGAGTAATTTTTTTTAATAAGGTTGGTCAAAAACTAGATGGATTGGAGTAATTTTTTTAATAGAAATTGCTCTAAATAGGAGCAAAAACGTTTTGAAATTCCAAAATAGGAGTATCATGTTTTCAATGAATAAAAAACATGATAGTCCTATTTTGAAATTTCAAAACTTTTTTACTCTTATTTAGGAAATTGTCCCTTTTTTAAGGATATTTGCATAATTATTAATGATTTTATTTACTCTTACATTCATATAAAATAACTTTAATAATGGGCAACACTTGCTCATACCCCAATTTTAGCGAGAGTGTATTACTCCGTATTAATTTACACACAATACACGGAGACGCATGCATATCAAAAATATCTTCAATACTAAATCACTGATCAAGCTTTAATATGTGATATATGTGTGTATAGTTATGTTACATTGTATTTTCATTGCAAGTGTTCCAACCAAAATTTACCGTATATTATTACATACCAATTGGTTCAGCAGAGCCAAATAATATGATGTTTGATATAAAAAATGAAAAACTTTCTGATTTGGACGGGTATAAGCAACATTAAATTGCTACCAAATGGACACCTTAATGGGATATTCAAGGAAAACCCACACCATTAACAATTTACCACACAAATCAAATCAAACCAGATCAGACCAAATCACCGTAGAAATAAGTGATTTGTGATAGTTTCTATTTTAAAAATATACGGAGTAATTTTAAGTGATTTTAGAGAAAACGCTTAATAATAAAAGTTGATAATATTTGAGAAGTGTTTTTTAGGAAAAGCAAATGTTGATAGTATTTAATACAAAAATAGAAAAAGTTAAAAAACAGTTTAAATATTCACTTCCAACTTTTAAATGCTTAATTTAAGAAGAAATAGTCACTTTTTCTTTTGAGCTAGAAGAAATCATCACTTCAAAACACTCATTTCATCTTATTTTAAATGAAAAACACTTTTTTCTTCTTTTTGCAAACACTCCATTAATGCTACTCATTAAAATCAATCTAGACCAAATAGAAACACAATGTTTCTCATTAAAATCAATCTAGACCAAACCAGACAACAAAAAACCAGTAGAAGAGAACAAGTCCTTAGAATCTTAAAGGCAGCAACTTTACAATGTTATTGAAACACTACACATTGGGGAGCGAGAAAAATCTACACTCCTAAAAACTCAACCATTCAGCTTGTGTACTACTACGTACATATCAAACTCAACCTTTGAGCACACATATATGTACACAGAGGTAAATAAATATCTACCAAAACAATCCTTACCGAAGTGAACTTACACACTTGCAGGGAACAGTCAAGTTTACATAAAATGAAAGAATTTATTTACGTACTAGGTTTTCACGCAAATGATTCTCAGACTGCCCTTTGTAGTGTCAATTTAGTGGTTTCATACAGACATGGAATCTTGTGGGGGTACCTAATGTTCCCATCAGTTTAAGGGGCAGAGGTCTTAAAAAGGCCATCCAGTTGTTCTATTCCCTTCTTAACCTATTGAAATCCTCTTTACTCATCGGAGTCGTCATCGTAAAAGATTCTATTGCTGACACGTTCTTCTATTGCTTTGCCATTGATCTCTCTGCTGTATCCCCAGACATAGTTTAAGCCAACAAGAAGTTCAGCAATTGTTGCCTCCGTTTTTTCCTGATTTGCATAGTAAAGAGTTTGTACGAGGAACACATTGGTTGTTCTTGAGATAAAGCTGTGGTGGTGCTCAAAGCTCCTCTCAGACTGCCACCTCATCATGTGATGGGCGAGAGGGGCCAGCCAGCCCAATATTCCCAGCATTGCCTCGTTCCATTCCTCCGCGAGGGCCATATCGTGTCCTGACATAATCAAAATCTTTGCATATGGCTTTAGTTTTGCCCTAAGGGCTGCCCTTACGCTGGTAGGCAGCATATTGTAAAGGTCCTCTCTAGCATCTTGACCTATCAAGTGTGGAGACGCTACAAATTTCTCTATTACAATGATAATGTTCGCGTAATGCAGTGCTAGGGCAGCTGCCCCTAGAGTGTCAGGGGGCGCATCCGTCAGCCTCTTCCTCCTTGTTGAATTAAGATAAGGAGAGCTATTCTCACCCACAAACAGAGGTGGTCCTACAGATGATGTATGCTGCTTCTCGGCAGTTTTAGATATTTGGAGTTTTCCTTGTAAGCGCCACCACTTTTGAAATTTGTTAGGTCTAACAACTGCACTGAACATCTTTTTAGTTGATTTACCGAGAGGACCTGAGTAGAAGTTAACTGCTTTGTTATCATCTCCTCCCTCTGAAACGGGGTTAGGATTCTTGAGCGGGCCCGAATAAAAGGTGTTTGGTTTGAGTGTCTTTGAAACTGGACCAGATTTAGTAAGGAGATTACTATCAAAGGGTTCTGAGGAAAACCTAGAGAGACTATACTCAGTGGGATGAACAGATGATTGTGAGTATGCAGCCGACTGGCTTCTGAGGATGTAATCAGATTCAAGAATTTTTGAGTTTTTGACTTCCTGATGATCATTGTTCCCAAAAACATGCCCAACCCTAGAAAAAATAGTGAACACAGATCTGGCCAGAAGAAAAACCGTATAGTCATAACTACGGTTCCAAAGAGAGATCTCTTTAAGATACTTCACTTCCTGTTGCTTTCGGATCACCCTTTTCTCGTACTCAACTAGTAAAGCATTACTTTCAGGGGTAGGATCGCCATTTCCACCACCCTTCATTCTCCTCAAAGTCCTTTCAAGATCAGAAAGTGCTTCCATTTCTTGGTACAAATTGGCATTGATTGCAACAAACCGTTCCATCTTCTTAACTTTTTTTCCCATCTTCTTCCATGTCAGCTGCCATCCATACGGGTCAGAGCTTATTTTGAGAAGTTCATCGAAGGCTAGCTCAAAGCTCTTCAAGAGTGGGTCTCCACATTTCTTTGAGAGTCGGTTAACAGTTAATGCCACATTTCTTAAGTTCTCATTGATCTCGCAGCATATTAGCCTTGAAATATATTCATCATCTTCGGAGACAAGCTTTTTAATACCAAGTGAATTGACTATCTCATCCCTTAACCTCGACACCTGCTTATCACTTAGAGACTTCCATAGATGAACCAGCTTTGACATCAAGCTTGCCACTTCAAATGCCAAAATTCCAACTCGAAGCTTTTCAGGGTTACCTTCATGCTTCTTTGCTGGTTTCCATAGACTACGAAACCATGACTCAGAAACCATGTTCTTATCAATCAGAAACTGGAGAGTTATATGGGAAAGAAGCAGCCAATCCCAGTAGCAGCTTAAGAACCAGAAAAGCTGAAATAATAAAGATAGCACAACTCTTAATAATCATCATAATGAACTGGACAGAATCTGAAACCACTATATGTTGCCTTAGTAAATTATGGATAATGCTAACCACAGTTTAAGGAAGAAAAGAAGGTTTTTATAGGGAGATGGAGATATGCAATCACCATTGATTTAAAAATGCCCTCACTCACGATTCCCTACAAAAAAAACTTTTCCTTTTATTTCTTAACCGATGTCCCAAGGGCTGTGGTCAGAATTTCCACATCCCCTGTGCTTATATATTCAGGAACTTATCCCAAATCAGGAACATAGTTCCAGATTAATCAAAGCTGCATCATCACCTTTGCTCATTTATATTGTTACTTTCTTTCACATAAAGGGAAAATCATGCGCACAGAAGTAAATTTGACCAAACCACATAAAACACATCATTTTCATAGCAAATGGAACCACTTTTGGCATTTCATTCATTGATTATTCTGGTTTGCATTTTATCAAGGCTGAATTTAGGTTGGAATAAACTCCTTATTACAAAGCAACTTTTGACTACTCATTTGGGAATTATAGCAGGAAAGTGAATAAGAGATGTCTAAATGAAAGGGTGGAAAGTGATGTGTGAGTCTAAAGAGCGAATTAATATAGTCCCAGGCGCAATTTTCGAAACGCAAAATTCATCCTAGACCAGCGATAGACAGCCGCTTTTAGCTATTCAAATCAGCTTTTGAACATAACTATACACTGGTTTGGATTGCGTTAGCATAGAAAAGAGCTTTTCCTACGCAAAAGCAATCCCAAATGAGGGATAACTAAGAAATCCTATGCAGTACAAAGAACATAAGAACCAGCACATAGTCTAAAGAATATTAAACTGGACCTTTTTTTTTAATGTCTAAACAAGGTTGACCCAAATTACAGATCTTACAACATTGTACATAAACATAGCAAAATGTACTAAAATGAAAAACATTATTCAATCCTAGAAAAAAATCAGAACTTTGATGAAAATAAACAAATTTACTCCGAAAATCCAGATGCAACACTACACCTCTAGATGCCAAATCAGAAGCAAATCATCAAGAAATAGAAAAGAAGAGAACTTGAACAGAAACAATCAATGAAATTCAAGAGAAAAGCTTGGAACTCACTGGGTATTGTTTTAGAGCAAAAAAGATCGGAATACTGCAGTAGTGATCAGATTTATAGGCAGATGGGTTGAAGAAGAAAATGCAGATGAAGAAGAAGAAGTAGAAAAGGAGGAGAAGAAGAGATGAGAAAATGAGGCGGAGAGGAGACTAGAGTCCACACGCAAGCAGGACGGCCAGGCCAAATCGTTGAACACATTAAAACCGAGTGAAAGGATTACCTTGATTTTCAAATCACTCCCATATGTTTCTTGGTTTTCCGGTTTCTACCCATGAAAACTCGATTCATCACATACTCGTCCCCGCTGCGTTTTCATGATGACTTTTGTAAACAAAAATCAATCATAAGACCTTTTGTAACATGGTATGAGGGGTTGAAAGTGGTATGTATCGGCATGGGCATGATTTTTAATTCGAGTACTGCCAATACAGTGCATGTTCAGTTGTGATGATTAAGTTCCTAATAACTATAATTAGCTGCATAATTGTATATACTATTTGTCCTTTATAACTTTACTAACTTTCCTTTTTTGGATGTCCCATTAACTTTGTTACTTTCTCTTTTAAGTAAAAAATTTGTGATTCCAGTTAATTATCTCTCATCTGCACAAAACTCAACCACACAGTTTTTACTTTATTAATTCATGTGTCGGTCAAACTTGGCAAAGTATTGAGGGACGGAGGAGGGAGTATAAAATATCACCACGATAATTGGGAGAGATCAAATTAGACACTATGGTAACATGTGAAAATCACATTGGCCATTAAGATCATAAAAGATCAAATTGGACATTATTATTACATATAATTCTCATATTGGTCATTAATTAAAATTTTACAGTCTATCGCTTTGGAACCATAATATCCAATTTGGTCTATTTGAAATCTTAAGTGCCAAATATGACATTCATGTTAAACGATGGTATCCAATTTGATCTTTATTCCTAACTTTTGGAAAAGGAAAAATTTACAAGAATACTCCCACATTTGATCGATCTTCACATAATAATTCAACATTTTTTACATAATCTAGGAATAAACTCACTTTTGCACATCATCTTCTTTAGTTGCACTCTGACCAGTTTGTGACTTACTATACCAGGGTTTTTGCATTTTTTGAAAAGTTTACATAAATAATCTCATATTTCATAAATTTGCTCAAAGCAATCTCATGTTTCGTTTTTTTTTCTTTACCCGGTCATGGAGTATCATAACTCCGCCATGAGATCATTTTTTTGGTATCATGCCTGTCCCAAGCCAGGATAAAGGAGGAGGGTGTTGTGGTAGGCGCGTGACGGCCAACAGTATCACTTAGTCACATCACATGACATGAATCGAAATATGAATATCGCTACAGTTAGGTCGTCGCCCGTAAGCGACGCGTCATCCCTCCGCCTGGGGGTGGTGTCAAATGGGCAAGGGCGCGCTACACTTCATAGGCCTGGGTGTGGTGATAAGAATGCTAAGGCTGCTAGGTCGTCGCCTGGAAGCGATACGCCACTCCAATGCCCGGGGATGGTGTCAAATATGAAAGGGCATGGTGGGGGTTGATGTGGGGTGCAGAAGAGAAGGCAGGGTGTTAGATTACGCTTTGGGACATGGAATGTTGGCTCTCTTACGGGAAGATCATCTGAGATAGCCGAGGTTATGAAGAGGAGAAATATCACCATAATGTGCATGCAAGAAACTAAGTGGGTTGGAGAAAAGGCACACGAGATTAATCCCGGAGGTTTTAAGCTTTGGTACTCGGGGAGAGAGAGAAACAGAAATGGAGTAGGCATTATGGTGGCACATGATTATGTTGACGGTGTGGTTGAAGTGTTTAGAAAGAACGATCGCATCATGAGCATTAAGTTGATAATAGGGGATGAGATTGTGTCCGTGGTTAGTGCCTATGCACCACACGTGGGATTGGATACATCTATCACTCCACAATTTTGGGAGGATCTTGAGGAAGTGGTGCGACGAGTGCCAATGGGAGAGAATCTGGTCATAGGAGGCGACCTCAACGGGCATGTGGGCCCAAGTCGTGATGGTTTTGAGAGTGTCCATGGCGGACATGGTTTTGGCACTAGAAATGAAGCGGGAAGAACATTCTGGATTTTGCCTCGACATATGTGTTGGCTGTGATGAACACTTGGTTCAAAAAAAGAGACTCTCACCTTGTCACCTATAGAAGTGGAGCTAATAGTACCCAAATTGACTACTTTTTAGTACGGACGACTTGGAGAACTAGCTACACTGATTGTAAGGTTATCCAAGGTGAGAGTGCTGTCACTCAGCATAGGATGCTTGTGCTTGATTTTTGAGGTAAAAAGAGTGGACGAGTTAAGGTACAAGGGGAGCCAAAGATAAAATGCTAGAGGCTCGAGGGGAATCTCCAACAAAGTTTTGCACACAAAATGTTGGAGGAAGATGTTTGGTCTATTGATAATGACGCACACGTGGATGATGTGTGGTTACCAATGGAGTCCACCATTAACAAAGTGGCGAAGGAGATACTCGGAGAATCTAAAGGATGTCTGCCACCAAAAAAGGACACATCTTGGTGGAATGATGAGGTGAAACAAACAATAAGGGCCAAAAGAGAATGCTATAAGAAATTGGGCAAAATTTGGAGCGACGAGAACATAGAGGAGTACAAAGAGGCTAGAAGAAGAGCAAAGAAAGCTGTGATGTAAGCTAAAGGAAAAGTGAATAAGGAATTGTATGTAAAGTTGGATTCTAAGGAAGGAGAAAAAGATATCTACAGACTTGCTCGCCTTCGTGACCGTAGGACTCAAGATATCAGAAAAGTTAAGTGTGTAAAGGATGTCGATCAAAGGGTACTAATGGACGACGAAGAAATAAAAGAGAGGTGGAGGTCATACTTTGATACCTTGTTCAACGGGAATAAAGTCCAAGGTATTGATGATCTTACTATACCAGAGTGTATGGTAAATAGGGACTTCGTGAGAAGGATTCAAACAACAGAAGTTAAAGAGGCTATGAGAAAAATGGGTCGGAAGAAAGCAGTGGGCCCAGATGGCATACCGATCGAGGCTTGGAGAAGTTTGGGAGAGAAAGGCATCGAGTGGCTAAAACGTTTCTTCAACATGATTTGGAGAAACAACAAAATGCCAGTGAGTTGGCGGAAGAGTACTCTCATTCCCTTATTTAAAAATAAGAGTGATGTGCAAGAATGTGCTAACTATCGAGGGATTAAGCTTATGAGTCACACCATGAAACTTTGGGAGCGAGTGGTTGAGCAAAGACTACGTAAAAGTGTGAAAATTTTGGAGAATCAATTTGGTTTTATGCCAGGACGCTGAACAACTGAAGCCATTCACCTTCTTAGACAAGTTGTGGAGAAGTATAGAGACACTAAAAAGGATCTGCATTTGGTGTTCATTGACTTAGAAAAGGCATATAATAGGGTACCTCGAGAAGTTCTTTGGTGGGCCTTAATTAGAAAAGGCATATCACGTAAGTATATCAGCATCATCATGGATATGTATGATGCTTGTACTACAAGTGTCCGCACTAGTGTAGGGAGGACCGCAGAGTTCCCTATTGCTATTGGAGTGCACTAAGGATCTGCTATGAGTCCTTTCTTATTTGCTTTAGTAATGGATGAACTTACGAAGTCAATTCAAGAAGATATACTGTGGTGCATGATGTTTGCCGACGATATTGTATTGATTGATGAGATACAATCCGGTGTTAAAGCAAAATTGGAAGTATGACGACAAACATTGGAGAGCAAGGGTTTCAAACTGAGCCAAAGCAAGACTGAGTATATGGAGTGCAAGTTCGGTGGAGGTAGAAGTGGTAGCAAAAGTGGGATTACTCTGGATGGTAAGGAGATACCGGTGTGTGATATGTTCCGTTACTTGGGATCCATAATTCAGAAGGATGGTGAATTAGATGGAGATGTATGTCATAGAATCAGAGCTGGGTGGATGAAATGGAAAAGTGCTTCAGGATTTCTATGCGATCGAGGTATGCCGACTAAACTGAAAGGTAAATTTTATCGTGCAGCAATTAGGCCGGCATTAATGTATGACGTAGAGTGTTGGGCGGTGAAGCAATGCCACATTCAAAAGATGAGTGTGACAGAGATGTGTATGTTGCGTTGGATGTGTGGACATACCAGAAAAGACCGCCTGAGGAATGAGGTAATCAGACAAAAGGCGGAAGTAGCACCTATAGAAGATAAGATGCAGAAGTCTCGTTTGTGATGGTTTGGGCATGTGCATAGAAGACCCAGTGATGCACCTGTTAGACGACTTGAGGGGTGGGGAGAAGAGTCAGAGAAGAGAGGGAGGGGAAGACCCAAACAGACTTGGATTAGAGTAATCAGAACTGATATGCGTCTTCTTGGGTTGGATGAGAGTATGACTTTGGAGAGAGCAAAGTGGAGGACGCACATCCATGTGGACGATTGATGTCTTGTCTACCTTTCCTCTCTTGTTTCTTTTATCGTTTATCTTCCTTATCTTTTTATATTCTTATGTTATTTTTATCTTCTAGCTTTTTTATTCTCTTTTATTTATTTTTCTTTTATCTTGGTTATTTTCTTGTGTTATTGTTATCTTATATTTATGTATCTTTATTTTATTCATTTTATCTTACTTTTTTTTCCTTTTCTTGTCCGCCTTCTCTTTTTGACATCGATATCATAGATCGATTCATGTTAACCGACCCCAAATTCTTTTGGGATTAAGGCTTGGATGTTGTTGTTGTTGTGGTCATGGAGTATCATCTTTTTTCATGAGCGATTGGACAAAACTCAAAATAAGAGATTACATAGAGTAGTAGGGTAAAACTATAAAAGTGAGGATTTTAGTGAGTTTGGTGTGTTTGGCAGCAAATTAAATACTACGGGGTACGTATTTAAGGAGTGCGATAAAAAAGTTTATACAAGGTGCTTTTTTTTTAGAAAAATGAAAAAAATATTACTTCCACGTACACTTTTATAAGTATAAGTAAAAATATGATCAGTGTAAATTTTTCAATAATTATGACTAACTTTTTTATATCTAAGATACATTTCTTCTACTTTTAATACTTATCCAATTGTCTACCTCTGCCTCCCACTTCACCCTGCCCTTTTGCTGCCTACAGCAACCACTGGAATCGACGCCCGTCGAAGAAATTGCAGAAAAATTCTCAAATCATCACATTTTTATCGACATTTAAAAGTAGTCATGTTTTTACTGGAACTTCAATAAAAGATTGTTTTCAAAAACATAAAAAAAATCAAATGAGTGTTTTCAAATTACAATTTCTTTTTAAATTAAATAATTACTTAAACGTTAAAAGCTGGAAGCAGATGGGTGGGCGCTATAAATTGCTTTTCATTTTTTTTTCTACTATACAAAAGATTTTTTTACCAAACACTATCAATATTTATTTTTGAAAAACACTTTTTTCAAATACTAACAACTTTTACTATTTAACACTTCTAAAATCACTTATAAAATCACTTTTTAAAGTAGAAGCAATTAGCAAATACTCTCGAAGTATTCATCAAATGAACAGTTTTCTTCCTTTTGGCCTATTTTAATCCTTTAGTAACACACAATCTAAAACATCTCATATGGCAATGTGTGACAAAACGTATTTCCCAATCCTTGAGAACTTCAAAATTTAACCACCTAGAGTGCAATATATAAAAATTAGGGTTGGGTGGGTGGCGATATCGGTTCGGTTCAATCGAAGCGAACCGTACCAAATAGGACTAAACCGAATTTGAACCGAACTCTATGCAATTTTGTTTGAGTTTGGTAGTATTTATTCAAAACCGTATTAAATGAAAACGTAAATGTAAATATAAATGTAAATATAAATATAAATATAAATATAAATATAAATATAAATATAAATATAAATATAAATATAAATATAAATATAAATATACATATAAATATAAATATAAATATAAATATAAATATAAATATACTATGAAGATCATTTAGACTTTAGATTATCATTTAAATTACTTAAACGGATTATTACGATGTGTTCATATTTACGGCTAATATTTTCTTGGTCACATATGTTGAGTTTCTAAAAGAATATGAATGTGAAAAAATATTTAGTTATTATTGGGTCCTTTATATCCGTTGTTAGTTTTATAGATTTACTTGCATATTTGGTCCTTTGACTAATAATATGTCCATATTCAGGACCTAAACTTTGAAAATTTCACTTTTAGACAGAATTACTAGAAAAGATGTTGACTACTTACGTCAAATTTTACAGTGGAAGATGTACTTGCATGTACGTGAAAAAACCTTAATGTGACATATTTATTAGTTACACAATAAGATTTGTAAGTGTGTAAAGTTACAAATTAAAAGTGTAGACAATTAAAAGTTTGAGATTAAGTCTACAATTGTCTCGCTATTATTTCTGCACAATTTCAATAACAATTTGCTTATATTATAATGATATTTTCTAGTATTTGTTTTTATATAATCAATAGCTCGCGTGTTTTTATAATTTACATAAAAGTAATTTATAATCGCAATGCATCGAATGCTCTAAATTGATTTTCTATTATAGGCACTAGAATCAATATGAAAAACTTCATGGTAGAAGAACCGAGGATTCCAAATATTTCAAACAAAATCACATTGTGTCACTCCAAGCAAAATCACCTTGATAGAAAAAGTAGAAGTACATGTAGAAGCAATTGAAAGAATCATAATAAACCTACGAGAATAAAAAGAAATTTCTTGATATCATTCCCTCACATTTACATGTTATTTTCAGTTTGTAACACTTACAACTTTTGATTTCTAAATGTTTATAGAGTTAATTATCAAAACAGGACTAAAAGTCATTCACTTTTCACAAACAGGACCAAAAAATAAACTATGTTTGCATAGGACTAATTATGTGTACCTTGGACAATTATACCCTTATAGCTATTAAAATGTTTTAATTCCTAATAAAATAATAAAAAATAATAAAAATTAGTAAAAAATACCAAAAAATTAAGAAAAACATTTCGATATTAAAAAGTTAATTAATTGTTTTTTCAAAAAATTAAAAAAAATAAAAAAAAAATAAAAAAAAAACTCAAAAAAAAAAATGCCGCCGCCTCTGCCGCCTCAGCACCACCACCTCCAGTCACCAGGGGAAAAAAATGCCAAGTTCATTACGAATGCCATATTTATGCCAGAAAAAATGAAAATGTTGGCATTCGAAAAGAGAAATATGCCACTTTTTTGGCATTTTCAGAAAAAAATGGCATTTTTCTGGGAAAATGGCATTTTTTTCATCGGCCGGAGGTGGTGGTGGTGGGAGGTAGTACAGGCGGTGGGAAAGACATCCATATTTTTTTAAATTTTTTTTACGGAGTTTTACTATTTTTTCTTAATTTTTCAAAAAATAAAATTATTTTAAAAAAAAAAGTTTTTGAATTTTTTATTTTATAAAAATTTTATAAATTTTTTAATTATATTTCTACGAATTTTTGAATTTTTTTCGAATTTATTATGAATTAAACATTTAATTATAGCTTTTGACTATTTTTAATTCATATTTAATGGAAGGGTAAGAATGGAATGCAAAAATAGGTATGTTTCGAATAGGACTCATATGGTCCTATTTTGGAATAAAAATATACAAAGTCCTATTTTAGGTTTTTGCCATAGTTTTAGTCCTATTTGAACTAATTTCTAATGTTTATAATATAGATAAAATTCGAGGAAACCACAAGCTTTTATACCGTTGCAAAGATGATGCATTGCTATTCTATCGACATTTATTTGACTCTCGTAATTACGATTGATGGAATCAATATCACAATTCTTGAAAATATACGTGTAAACGATGATGGAATTTGCTACGTCGATCCAATACAAAAGAATATTCCATGCGAGAATGATGGATTCAGAGAAATTTATTTACCCACATGTATTAAGCGATTTGGATTACGATTATGTGAGACATGTTCGTGAGATACTTCTCAAAAACATTGTCCTTATTATTTTGTATCACCTAAATATCTTTAATTTGTCTTTACAATGAAATTATTATAGTAATGGATTGTCAAGCCATTTGACTCTTTTAGTCATCTAGAAGAATTTATTTGGCTCCCTTGTATTCTACTATGCATAATAATAATAAGTGTGGTCTGAATTTAAAAAAATGAAGAAGATCAAGTTTGAGAGGAAAAATTGTCAATATTTTTTTGGAGAAACTTTCCGAAATAGGACTAAAACAGTTTGAAAATTTCAAAATAGGACTGTCATTTTCTTATTCCCCAAATAAAACTAATTATTGTCATGTTTAGAAAACACCACTGTTCTAAAAATCAGCCTAGTCGGACCGATTAATCGGTCTAGTCGGCCTAGTCGGTCCTAACCATAGAGGCCTAATCGGCCTAGTCAGTCAAAAAATTGACCTAGTCGACGAAAAAATCGGCCTAGTCGGCCGCCTAGGCGCTAGGCGCCCCTCAACCGCCCGAATAGCGCCTAGCGAGTTTTAAAACAATAGAAAATACTGTCATGTTTGAAGTCAGGTACTGCCAAAACATGGCAGTAATTAATCTTATCTTGGGAATAAAAAACATGTCAATCCTATTTTGGAATTTTCAAATTGTTTTAGTTCTATTTTGAGTAATATTCTCTCTTTTTTGGTCATTTCCTATTAAAAAATGTATAGGCTTGGACGCCAAGAATAACTGGAATAAAAAACCTAATTGGCCCTTCTTTTCTTTTGCACTTCCTAATACTTTCCTATACTCTGTTGTTTCCTAAAGAGCATCACTCTGTAAACCGCCATATCATCCCTTTATAATCTCTCGGCCGATTCCTCAGCAGAAAGAGGCACCAGTTTCGAATCGAGTCATCTCCATCATCGCTTCTCTGAGCCGTCGACATTCCGCCAGCAAACGCCGCATCTCTGAGGTGAGCCTCCTCCGACAACCCATCACTTGGAGTTTTTAGTTCTGAATACTTTGAGGTGGAATGCTATGAACTTATGATAGGAAATCTGGATTATTAAGTGTTCCCATTGTGAATTAATAGAGATATTTACAAATTGTTGTCAAGAAGTTATAATAGACTGCTGGATGCTGGTAACTTGCTTAGAGTTTTAATGCCCAACCATGGCTGCATTAATTCTCTCGAGCTTTTTTTAATTCTTCATGATCTGCTTAAGCTATGCCTTTTCTAGCTGCATTTTGAATAATTAAGATTAAATGCCTGGATTTTGTTTATAATTGCGATCAATGACATGAAATTGATATACGTGTATCTGTAGTGATATGATATTAATATCATATCAAGTAAATCAGGTGAATTTTTGCATTAATATGTCTTTGATGTTTTGCATGATACCTGATGGTATTTATTGACACACTCTGCTTCTGATTTTTTGTGTTTCTAAGGCAGACATGATTCTTATTGACAAGAAAAATCGTGGGCTAAATAATGGAGGACTTTCCAATTTGACCCCGGCAATTACTGATCAAGAACAGAATGCCATAGTTCTGAATTTCAAGAATGAGCTAATGACGTCTGGGAAAGCAGTTAAACTAAAAAATGTAGCACTCATGACAGTTTCTGAAGAAGATACTTATAGAGATTACGATGGTTGTCCATCGAAATTCTTGATCTCTTGTTTGAATAAGATTGAAAATGATCTGAATCATGATGGAGCCTTCGTTAATGAGAGGGATAGACCATTCTTTGCTCTACCATGGGGGTTCGAATTTTGGAAGTGTTATTCAAATGGGAAAGATATTGTGGATACAAGTCAAGCTGATTCTGCCATTGATCAGATTGCTTGGATTGCATCAACGGCTTCAGATACTATAGCAAGAAAAGAAGAAGAATTATCTCCCACAAGCCCCTTCCTCGTATATCTTGTCCCCTCTCAACAGGAAGCAATTAAGGTCCCCACTTTTTTCCCCTTTCTATTTAAGGATAATTTTCTTTGATTTTGAGTTTTGACAGATTTGGCATTCTGCTAATGACTACTCTCTTACTTGTTATTCTTCAGGTTCTCAAAGTCTGCAATCCTTTGAAAGCATGTGGAACATATACAGTCTGCCTACATCCTGGCACTTCCATAGACCATCAAATTAATGAGTTAGTGAAAGCTACCCCTTTCCATGTCCTTTTTTTGTTGTATGTGTGATGCCATCTACACCAATAAAGTATAAAGATACAAATTCATACTCCCATATAAGATTTTGTAGTACTCCTATGATTAGGTTAACCCTTGATGGTATAGCCACATATATCCTACACCAATTACACAAATAGTATTGTTTGATGATTAACTTGTTTTTTCAATACATTTATTTTTGAAATGTTAGTTTTGAGTTTTGACAATATTTTGTACTTCGGTCAGATTTTCTTGATTACTCACTTACACTTGCTTTTGGGTTTTGATAATGGCAGCCTGAAGATGTCTGAACCGGAGTTTATTGTTTCCACCCCTGAGAGACTCACAGAGCTCATCTCGCTTAATGCTATAGACTTATCCGGGGTTTCTTTTCTGGTACCGTATATGTTTCACTCAAGATTCAAGAATCTTTTCTTTCACCTGTGTATGGTTTTCATAAATGTTTTTTTCTCTATTTTAATGATTATTACAGGTTATTGATGGTCCGTCTTATGATGTCCGTAGTGTTGAAGCCATTAAAAGTATTAAGAGTTCCATTTCCAGCACTTCACAAACTATGGTTTTTGGTGGTTGCCTGAATCAATAGTCAGCTTCAGCTTCATAGAAATTCTTTTATGGAGTTGAGTTGCAGTTTTATTAGCTTATTGTATCTTCAATTATTATTAAGTTTACAGTTGAGGCTTATTCTTTTGGCAGTGTTGAGGCTTATTTTGAAAAGTTTTTTATTGCAAAAGGCTTATATAAATCACTGTGAACAGGAGAATTCCTAAATATACAAATAACTATGACACATTCACGAGCTCTAGACCAGGTGAAGAGTACATCACCCCATAAGAGCAATATGACCCGCTAATCACAATACGGGCGATTGTAAGCTAATAATAGTGACCGATCTAGTTTCTTTGCCACCAACCTGGACCTTCGGATGGAATCGAACCCTGGCTTCTAACAGAAAAACACAAACCAATCTTAGAGTCCGTTTGGTAGCACGAAAATCGGTTGTTTTGGCTGATTCGGCTGAAATTTATGAAGTTCTGGCTGAAGTGGCTACATCGGCTTATTCTGCTGATTTAAGATTTTTTTTTTTAAATTTATTTTATTAACAAAATAAAGAAAAAATTATATGTAAAAATAGCTAAAATTATCATCTACAGTAACATCAGCCAATACAGCCAGAAAAGTAACTCCAAACTTACTTTTTCTGCTTATTACACAATTCAACGCGCGAAAGCAAAACTTACGTGTTTGGTGAAAAAGTTGGCTGATAAGCCTGATAAGCTGAAAACGGTGTTGTCAAACGACCTCTTAGGCTCTTAGATATTTTGTTAATTATCTAAGATTAAAATCAGTATTTGGTTTAAGTTCTTTAAAACATGAAGAGAAATTAAAGAAATACTCAGTAATTAACAAAAGAAGGTAAAGAAGGTACAATTGTTAACTTCGCAATCTATTTGGATAAAAAGTAAAAAAAAATGTTAAAGAGTTGGTGAATGGTGATTATTGGACATATAAAAAGAATGAGAAGAATATAATACGGAGTATGTAACTTCTTTAGTACGTACTCCGTATTATATTCTTCTCATTCTTTTTTATGTCCAATAATCACCATTCACCAACTCTTTAACTTTTTTTTTTACTTTTTATCCAAATAGAGTGGTCAATATGTAGTGGTCAAGATTCTAAAATGTTGACCACATGTCTGGTCAACATTAGAATCTTGACCATATGTAGTGGTCAAGATTCTAAAATGTTAAATATGGATTCCATCCATATTAAAACATTGTTTAGACTCATATTTTTCTGAATCTCAAAATCGTCAATAAAGTACATTCAACATGTTTTTTTACATATCAATTTAGTAAAACATTAATTAAATTATTATAAGTAATTTTTTCTGTTTAATTGTTTCCCTAAATAAATATGAAAAAAATACACATTTTGATGCAGGAAAAAATAAATTTCATTAAAAGAATTGTTACTTTTATTTTTTACTTTTTCAGTTTTAATAAAGAATAGTATGATTCCATGTAATAGTTTGTTATTTATTGGGGCTCCATATATGGATTAAAAACTTGTGTTTCCTATTTTCTTGGGGTTAAGAAAACTCCAACATTTAAAATTTAAAAAAAATACACTTTATATACTCCCTCCGTCCCTTAAAACTTTGTCATCTTTCCTTTTTGGGGCGTCCCCAAAAACTTTGTCACTTTCCCTTTTAATCAATTATTTTGTGGTTTCTGTTATTTCTCTCCTCTGCACAAACCTCAACCACACAATTTTTACTTTATTATTCTCCGTGCCGGTCAAGTTTGACAAAAAAAAAAGGATGACATCCCATCCCTGAGGGCCCCCCAACCCCGACCGGACAGTACGTTGGGAGGATGTAAGTTGGACTATAATCCCAAGCTGACAGATAGAGAGTGGGACTCTGTCCCCGGTACTTGCAGAGGCCCTATGCATTTTTTAGCATAGTAACCCCTCCGTGCCAGTCAAGTTTGACAAAGTTTTAAGGGACGGAGGTAGTATGTAATATTGGTGTCATTTCAAAGATCATAAAAAGTTACCAATTTTGATATATTTTTTGAAAATTTTAGAGTAAAAGTAAAAAAGTTATACTCCCTCCGTCTCAATTTGATTTGCAAAATTTCATATTTTGGGTGTCCCAAAATGATTTTCCACTTTCTATTTTAGGTATGTAAATAAGAATAAAGTGACAAATCTACCATTACTTTTACCTTTTCCTCATTAACTTAAAGACATCTACTTTTAGGAAGATGAGCAAAAGTGTAAAAAGCAAACATCATTTAATATCATTTCTTAATCCTTGTACCGGTCAAAGTTTGAAATTCAATTCGGGACGGAGGGAGCACCAATTTTAAAAAAATTGGGTATTATGACAAAAGTATGACACCATCGGAACCAAAGAGCAAACCTACGGTCAGTTGACTCAATTTCTTCCTTTTTCTTTTTTCCTTTACCCACTCCTATCCGTCTTGTCAATCCACCCTCTAAAAAGTCTTTCATCCACTTTTCTACTTTTAACCCCCTTTTAAACTAATCAATATATATATATATATATATATAAGAAACTTTTTAAGAGCATATAAAACGCCACATAATTCTGTCATGTCATTATATATAACAATTATTTACTTATTTTTATACCTTTTGTTTTTATTAGATTTTATTTTTGATTGCATATTGATATGGAAACAAAAATCCTTATAAATCCACCTTAATTAATTTGGTAAGCTTCAAATAAGTAAAATAATTTTTGGTTATCAAAGTGAAATTCTAATAACGTTTATTGATATGGAAACTAATTTATATTAGTTTACTACACCGAATTAAATAGAAACCAATATGCAAATTAGTTTACTTATTAATTTGACACCTATTAATAAATTAGTAAGCCTCAAATAAGTAAATAATTAAAAATGAAATTAAAAATTATAACCAACATAAAGTATATATATTTTCACAAGTAAATATGTTTAGCTTACCCAAATAAGTAAAAAAAAAATGGCTGTTTCTTTATTTTACACCTAAACTTCAAATATGCCTTCACTTTTGAAATGGATTCCTAATCCAAATTTGAAAATCTTTATATGTTTACGAATTCCTACTTTTATTTTAATAGAATGTTTTTAATTGGATTGATTTCAGTTCCAGATTAAATCAGATCAGATCAAACTTTAATAATTATAATAATAAGTCACATAAAAACATACATCTAAGGATGTTTTTACTTGGACTGTAATTCGTCCCAGACCAAACCAGACCAGACCAGTTCAGACCAGACCAAACCAAACCAGACTTGGATAGTTATAAAAATACAAAGAAACCAGACCAGACCAGACCAGACCAGTTCAGACTAAACCAAACCAGACTAGACCAGACCAGATCAGACCAGACCAGACCAGACTAACAAATTATAGTCCAAGTAAAAACATCCTAATAGACCATATTAATTCATACCAAATCAAACCCGAAATTTAAATTCAATTAAAAACGTTCTTATTAATGAGTAATCTGTAAGATCTAACAATTAAGAATTATAGATTTTTTTATTAATTGGTTCGAAACAATTATGTTTACTTGAGATGCTTATGTAGAAGACCAATTTAACTTTTTTTCATATATTTTTTTCTTTGTTTCACAAATGGAATATATTTCACATATATTTTTCATGATTCAGAAGATTCCACCTATTTAACCAGAATTCAATCAATTTCAGCAAAATAAGTTAATTCTATTTACTTTAGTATTATCAAACAGACTCTATATTCGACAAAGTTTATTTTTCTTTTAAATCACATTATATGTGATCCGGTAGAAATTAAATTTCAATTAGCTAAATTATATACTACCCGTGCATTGCACGGGCTTGAAAGCTAGTCACTACACTAAATTAGGAGTTCAAAATTTCCAACTTTAATATTTTGGACCTCCAATCTTACACCACTACAAATAGTCTAAGGGTTGTATTATACGAAGTATATTTATATATGGATCGTGGTGGCATTTTTTAATTCATGAACATTTAAATTTGTAAACTTTTTATGAATGAATTCTGTTAATTTGCATGAGTTTTTTTCGAATTAATGCTAATTAATTAATTAATTACGTAAATAATGTTGGGTTAAAAGTATTTACGGATCTACTGCTGGGTTTAACCGTGGTTAGGGTAAGTCGCCCAACGGTTGGGCGACTTATAAGTCGCCAAACGGTTTGGCGACTTATAAGTCGCCCAACCGTTGGGCGACTTTCCCTTTAATATAAGTCGGATTCGGGCAGAACGCAACATTTCCCCCAAATCCCCAAACTCCCAAACCCCCTGCAGCTCCCCCGACTCCGGCGAAGTGCGGCGACACACCTCCCCCTGACTCCGGTGAAGGTTAATCTCCGGCGAGCGACGACAAGGCCTCCATATCTTGTCAATACTACTTTCCTTTCATCTTCTTCAACACTCTAGGTAAACAAATATCTTCAATTTATCTCATTTTTCATTTTAGGGTTTAGAATATAGAAAATTGGAATTTGTGAATTAGAAATTCATTTGTGAATTGATTTGTTGTGTAATGTGAATATGTATGAAGTGTTGTATGTTGATGTTGAATTCATTGTTATATAATTTTTTTTGAACTTTGTTATGTAATGTAGATTTGGAGGTATGAATTGAAGTTTGTTAAATTTTTGAACTTTATTAATGCTAAAAAATTTAAGGTGAGATAACAAAGAAATCTTAATTTAAATCCACGCGTATTAACGAATTAAGAGTGGAAATGATAATTTAAACTTTATTAATGCTAAAAAAATTAAGGTGCGATGAGTTCTTCGAGTGCTGAGTCCTGGTCGATGGATGCAACAAGGGGAATTAAGAGGTGTGACTGTGGACTCCAAGCACCAGTGTGGACTGCTACAACAGACAAAACAGGGGGAAAAGATTTTATGGGTGTGGTCGTTTCTTGAGTGGTCAAAAGTGCAATTTCATTGAATGGGTTGAGGATGAACAATGTGGCACTTGCCTGAGACGAATAGAGACCTTGCTTCAGAAGATTACCAGTGTTGAAGAGAATTTCCGAATGAAAGAATTAGAGATGCAAGCTGAAATCAAGTGTTGTGTTCGTGGAATTGGTCTTTTGAAAGTCCAAAATATGGAAGAGGAACTGAAGATGTCAAAGAAAGGCAATGGGACTTTCTCCTGGAATGTAGTGTGGTTCGGGTTGTTTGTTATCGTTTTGCTGGGAAGTAGGATATATCAGCAGATGTTGTAATGTTGTAATGAAGTGTT